AATACACAAGTACCATATTTCCTGCCTTCTTGCATCAATTGTGGCAAGCCTGGTAATTTCCCAAGACTAGGCAGTTCATCCATGACGATCCATAATTTGTGACGTGTATTGATTCTACTGCGACGCATACGAGATATCAAGAGTTCTAATAGCGATGCGTTTAATGGAATGGTTAACTCTCTAGCTGATGGGTCAGTAGCTAAAAAAAGCCAGTTACCACTGCCTGAGTTAATCTTGTTAATATAATCCTCTATTGAAAATGCTCCCATCTTGTTATTGTCTGTTTAGTTGGGGGTTTCCCTAGTAATTGCTAGGGAACTCATATATAGGATATATCCCAATGAGTTTACCATGTTTTGGCGTTTTAAGATAGGCAATGATGATATTTGTCTTACTACAAATGAGTTAGTAGAAAAAATTATAAGAATAACTAAATCTCATTCGAAAATTATCCATACAGCAGATTCTGGTGATGTTCTTGATCGTAAACCCAATATTTCTAAAGCACGTGAATCACTCAATTACAGTCCACAAATTTCAGTTGAAGAGGGAATAATTGATATGGTTAAACAAATAAAAATTGAATAATGGTACTTATGAATTTGAATACTCAGAGCGTTGTCTCATTAACTCATAATTTAATACAAATGCATACTTTTTTTGGACATCAAGGGTTAGAACAAGCACAAAAGCTTATATATGAAGTTATACAAAACCAAGGGTGGTCAGACATTTATTTCGATCGTTTTGATGCAAAAGATATCAATCAACATCCACAATATGTCAATGTTACCTCATTTGGTGAGCCTTATTTAAATTATGAGAGTGTACAAAAAATTAATGTAATTGGTGTTGCCCTATCTAAACTACCAGGTCCTACTTTAATTTTAAATGCCCATGTAGATGTAGATATTGTGAACGAAACTTCTGTTTGGTATGAACCTTATGGTTGGATAAAGGGTGATATTATTGATAACAAACTTTATGGTAGAGGTGCATGTGACATGTTAGGAGGACTTTCCTCAGTCCTTTTAACTTCTTCTCGCTTAATTCAGCAAGAAAAATGGGGAGGTAGAATTATTTTTTGCTCTGTTTGTGATGAAGAAATTGGTGGAAATGGAACCCTCAGGTCTCTACATGTTTTAAAAAAGTTAGGTCTTATAGATGAAGCTTCTTTATGTATTATTGCAGAACCTACAGAAAATCAACCATGCCAAGAATCACTTGGTTTTATGCATATAAAACTTGATTTTAAAAGCAATCCTCAACATATGGGATGTGCAACCCGTGAGAATAATTCGATTTATAATGCAACTGCTTGCATAGAAAATTTTGTTGAAACTTTATGCTATTCTCTTAACATTTCAGGATACAGAAACTCCTTAAATAAGTTTCGTATTAATTTTGGAAAAATATCTGGCGGAATAGATCCTGCAATCCCTATAGGTCACCTAATTATTGAAGGAACTATTTTTTATCCAGAGGATATAGATATGAATGCTATATACGATTTATTATCTACAAAACTTCAAGCGACATATAATGCAATTATTAGCAGAGAAGAGTTTACTTTTCCTGGAGCTAAGTTTCTAATTAATAAATCGGTTATGCCTATTCCTCAAAAGTTTGGTCTTTTTCCAAGTCCTTGTGATACAAGACTTTATAAAACCTATAATATTCCAACTTTAATTTGGGGACCTGGATCACTACAACAAGCTCATGGAATTAATGAATATATTGAAATTGAGCAAATCTCTCAATACTGTCAGCAATTATATATATTCTTATCTCATTATATGACTAAAAATTTTACATAACATATTTTTATAAAAAATTCATAATAAAATGATAGATACAAGACTTCTGTTCAACCTAAGAAAATATAATTGCCTTTGTATCGGCCAAGCTCATCTAATTCCAAACAAGGTAATTTATATAAAAAGCTTTCGTTTTTTCTTCCCACATCTGGTCAGTTAATTCTATCAGAGAGTGCTACAACTGCATTATTAAAAATATTTAATAATTAATAATAATGATAAGTTTACAGTAAACGAGCAAAAGATAGAGGAAGATAGCAAATGGGACGGTTTGCATGGAGTTATTAGTAACCTAGAAAATGTTGATGTAGCGTATATATCGTCTCGTTATAAAGGATTGTGGCAAATTGAAGAAACATTTAGAGTTAGTAAACACGATATTAAGATTAGACCAATTTATCATTGGAGTCCTAGTAGAATCAAGGCACATATTGCTTTATGTTTTATGGCGTTAGTATGTATCAGGCATTTAGAATATCGGGTAAATCAACAGTAACATGTGCCCATGTTACTGTTGTACCAGATAATAAAAGAATCAATGTATTAATAAAAGGGATGTCAAAAGGATCAAATGTTTGAATAGATGCAGGAGGCCATATACCAGGCTTTACTACCCATACACCATCTAGCAATCCTACAGGAAAAATACTTGCGTTAAAAAAGGATCCAAAAAATGCTGCAAAAAACATTATCTCTGACAAGATAAATAATGCCATACCTATCCTTAAGCCAATTCTTACTGGCTCAGTATGATGTTTTCCAATTAATCCCTCTTTAATTACATCTCTCCACCAGGAAGATAAACAAAAAATCACCGAAAGAATACCGACTCCAAAAACATATGTTCCAAATCGATATTGATGCATAAACATTATGCTACCAATAGCTAAAAGCAATAAGGCAAATGCAGTCAGAATGGGCCAAGGGCTGTGATCGACAAGATGGAATGGATGCTGTTTTCCTGGTACAGAAACAAAACTATTATTTTTAATAGACCCATGTAACATAAATTAAAGACTCATAAACAATTTATTGCTTGGTATATTCTATGCTATCTTTTATAAATATCAACAATAGTCTTTTGGTACTTAGCGATTCTATAGTGAATTAACTTGAATTAGCAACGTTATAAATCCGATTATAGTCAATTCATAGGAATTTGGGGCTAGGAGCTATACCTATAAGTAGGGCAACGTGGGGCAGCGCGCCCCCCACTTTTTTTAAACTAAATTTTTGATGAAGTTTGATACGAGGTGGTTCTTTGTTTTGTTTAAAGGTGCAACTAATGAGAAATGTATGATGTGAATTAGACGCCTATAGAGTTATTAAATTTTTAATGAAACACTATTTTGTAAAAAGTGCCAAAATGGGCCCATTGCCCCACCCCTGGGGCAATGGGCCCATGGGCTTGGGGCAAGGCGCCCACCCTTGGTCCCTTTACCACAATTGCATATTTTTCGTTTAAAAATGATAAAACAACACTTTACAGTTAAAAATAAGAAAAATGTAATAAAAAAATGACATTCATTCATATATTAACAACTCAAAAATCATATCCATAGCTTGAAAAGAATATACTCTTGGCTTAAAAAATCTATCACTGACGTGAAGAAAAATATTTCATTGACATAACATTATATATCCTTGACTTGAAAAAGATATCTTTGCGATAAAAAATTCGTCCTTGACATGAAAAAATGTATCCTTGACTAGAAAAAATATATTAAGTTGATCAGAAAAAAACTTCGTTCCAGTTTCGTCCATAATCCAGATATTATGTGCAGAGAATTCGTACCTAATCATGATTTCAGCCAACACCATAAAAACTCTCATCAACTTTTGGCTCATTGGTGTTGACTGAAATCAACTTTTGGCAAGGCAAGAGTCAATAACTCGAAAAGTGGTCATAAATACGCATAACTAGAAACTAAACCTGCTGCCATGAGGCGGCAAATAAAAAAATCATGCAATATGAAGTGTAATTTGTAATTCAAAAAGCTAGTCATAGTTTGAAAAGGTCATTGAGACAAATCTAATGATGTATAACACAAGACTTCACCATGGGCGCTTTGCCCCGTGACACGCGTGGGCCCGTTGCCCCCACTAGGTATCATTTCAATTTATGTCGTGTCAACATTTTATTTTAAAAGCTAATAGTCTAAACTTGGTCTCAAAATTATCCCTATAAATATTACTTTGAAAAAATAATTCAAAGTAATTTCAAAATCTTCATCTATTTTCAGCGGCAAAAAAATTTTTATCTGGACTAAAACAGTTATTCGCAAAGAACTTAATAACGCAAACACTAAGCAAAACGTAAATCCGTACACTTCATCCCAGTGAAACTGTCGACCGGCGGTAGAGCGCACGGACCAATATCTGCCATACTTAGCGAGAAACCCGCTATGGGCCCATGACCCGCAGTGGGCTCGCTGCCCCATGTTACCCTAATAGGCGAGCATTGAGCGACAACGTCCCCAACTTCTCATCAATTGACTATATCGTTATGCAGCGAGTTTGTCCTTCAATACTTCAATTAATTTATTAATTGCCTCATCAGGATTTATGTTTTCAAGAATAGCAAGTTCCCCAGCGAGTCTATTTAATGCTGATTCATAAATTGTTCTTTCGCTATAAGACCGGTCACTATCAACGTTTTTGTAGAGATCTCGCACCACTTCTGCCACAGCTACTATATTGCCAGAATTTATTTTACTTTCATATTCTTGTGCTCTTCTACTCCACATCCTATTACCTTGCTTAGCTTTACCTTGAAGTGTTGAGTATATTATAGTCAGGTCAGTTTTGCTAACAAGTTTTCTAAGACCCGAAATAGTTGCTCTATTTACAGGTACTTTTAGAATCATTTTGTCTTGGGGAAACGATATTACATAAACTCTAATATCAGTACCAGCTATCACTTGCTGTTCTACATTTATTATCTCTCCAACTCCATCAGATGGATATACAATTCTTCCTCCTACTTTAAATTCAGATGATGTTGACATGCTTACTCCTTATCCATTATAAAAACTTAGATTATAGTCAACTGAATTAACTATTAGTTCTTTTGCAAACTCACTAAACTAAAGATGATAAAACAACATTGATTATAACATATTTTGGAAAAATAATAAAGTAGAAGTTATAAAATTTAAAGATGCCGCCATTGAATATAGTTTATTATATTTTCTTAACTATTAAACTTGCATTAGTTCCACCAAAGCCAAATGAGTTAGAAAGTACGTAATTAATTTTTGCCTTTCTAGCTTCTAAAGGAACTAAGTCTATTTTTACTTCTGGTATCGGTTTATGTAAATTTAGAGTTGGTGGAGCAATTTCATCCTGTATGGCAAGAATTGAGTATATTAACTCTACACTACCAGTTGCTCCGAGTAAATGACCGATAGATGATTTCGTTGACGACATAAGAACTTTCGGTTTGGCATCCAAAAATAATCTTTTGACAGCTAGCAACTCAATAGTATCACCAACCTGGGTAGAAGTCCCGTGGGCATTGATATAATCAATAATACTTGCATGAATTTTTGCATCTTTAAGAGCATTAAACATAGCTTTATAAGCACCTCTTCCATCAGGGTGAGGGGAAGTCATATGATAAGCATCTCCAGTAGAACCATATCCAACAATTTCAGCATAAATCTTAGCATTTCTACTAATAGCATGCTCATATTCTTCCAGTACTACAACTCCAGCTCCTTCCCCCATTATAAATCCATCACGTTCTTGATCCCAGGGTCTTGATGCAGTTTCAGGGGTAGAATTATATTTAGTAGATAACGCCCTTGCAGCAACGAATCCCGCCACTCCAACCGGAGTAACCGGCGCTTCAGCTCCACCAGCAATCATAACATCCACATTACCATATTGAATCATCCGCATAGCATCTCCTATGGCATGAGCCCCAGTGGAGCATGCTGTTGCTACTGCTTGATTTGGCCCAGTAAATCCGTATTTAGTGGAAACATGACCTGAAAGGAGATTAATTAAAAAGGCTGGAATAAATAAATGAGGGCGTCTGATTGTCGACATAAACTCCGAGATCTTTTTCCACAATAGACTTTTCATTTCATTCATTACTCTCTCTTTGCAACCATGTCTTCTCCCATGTCTTCTTCTTTGTTAAAGAGTTCGGTCGCCTTTTTTGAGTTCAGTTTGTCGATTGCGGATGTGTCATCGTCACTCATCGGTAACTGCGTAAAAACCAGAAGCAGTATCGGTTAGTCGGATGTGTGGAGCGTCTATTTCCTAGAATTTAGTTTGGAAGATTTGGGTCGGTCGGTATGAAGTCTATGGTTTATTTTCTTGAATTTATTTCTGTAGGTCTGGGGTCTCGAACGTTCTTGAGGGTTTGATGGTGATGTGATGATTTCGATGATCATGAGGTATAGCTCACTTCGAAATGATACGTAACAAACGCAAGCTTTACCGAACGGCATAACTCACTTCTCAGACAGGCAGCTGATCAGAAATAGAGTCAAGCTTTACTGAGTTACATAAATCTGACGAACTTAATGTATTCTGCTGCCACGCACCAATTCAACGCACCTGCACTGAGTTGCTCTGGCAGTACACTGCAGCTGTCAAGTTTGATCGTAAGTCAAAAACGATTTGTTCATTTTTTTCTTTTTCGCCGAGTTCGATTTTATAATCGTAAAGTCAGTAGTTGCATAGTTATTGTCATGCATGAACATTTTTATCGGATTAACGCATGCAAAGCCAAATAAAAATAAACAAATCCAAATCTATAGGAAACATAGGAAAAGGAATCTTACGTTTACATGCTTCCTGGTCTCACAAAACGAAGCGCCCACAGCAGCCATTGCGGATCCAAGTGTAGCACCAATAGCCCATTTAATTCTCCATCGCGAGTTGACCACCAAGACAGCTACTTTGGGCTCTATTAGTAATTCAAACATGAATAAATCACTAAATTTTGTCCAGAAACTTCAAGAATAATCCCATGTGAGGTTAAATATTGTGTATATTTTTTATGTGGAATTACATATCACGAAATGCATCCAGCTGCTGTAAAACAAAAACAAAGATAAATGTTTGAGTAGTTACAATTGCCCGTGATCAGTATAGAATACTCGTGGATATAGACAATCATTGCCCAACCCACAAATTTTCCCGCTAGAATGAGAGACTTGCGATCTAGCAAAACACAGTTCTCATCCGTTTTCATCGATCACATTGATGCAGCAGGATAATTTTATATATAAATATATAATATAATTTTATATAGATATAATAAGTATTAAAAAATTGTAAATCATTTGAAAAGTTTTGAGCAGAAAATTAATCACGTTGTCAAAGAGAGCTCAACAGGGCAGTTTGGGAAAACGATCGAGTGAATCGTGCGATAAGCACGGCTAATTAACCCCAATACAAACCGAATTCTTCGCTTTCAATATTTTTTAACAGTAAACCGTTACTTTATTGCGTTCAAAGTAATTGGTTGAATAAATCACCAACTGTTGAAGCATGGACCTCACAGTTGCCCAAAACAGCTTTATCTTGTAGCCCAGCTCACTTAACCACAAGATGGGTCACAAGATGTGATATACTTAACCTATATTTTATAGGAGAGCAAAACACAAGGCTCAACCTAGGGTTGGCAGCACAGATGGCCCACTTAATCACCGACACTGGATGAAAGATACCTCTTTGGGATGTATAATTGATTGAAAATTAAAATAAAATGCATAAAAAAATTTTTAAAGACCACGTTTTTCATGTGGACTCAAAAGTAGAAAATAATTTTTCGGCAGCTACTGATCTCTGTTTGCTTTCATTCTCTTGGTCTTTTGTATTTCAGTTAAAACATTTTACAACATCTAAAACGAAAAACGTGGGGCCCATATGTATTTAATTGTTTGGTGATTACTTGATATGATGAATATGATGGTTCATTGAACATTTGATAAGTGTATTGCTGATATAATTAGAAAT